GCAGTCTCTAATGTATGAACTGTTATTTACAATAATGTTCTACATAAGTTAGAGACTAGTTTTGCACGATTTCTTAAAATTTTAAACTAATAATTACTTAACACATGCATATATATCATTACTTAAAGATCTAGATCATTGTTTATTATCAGATAGTGGTTCTAATGTTGAAAAACAAAATCAATTTTCATTTGCTAATTTGGTAAAATCTACCGATAAATGAATTACATGAGACTTTTCGCTTCTGAAATTTACTTGAAAAGTTCATTTTAGGGTTAATTGCATTTTTTAACTTAATTAATAGCTTTTAAAAGTCTTTTACCTGAAGTCTTTTAACTGAATAATTTTAAAAAATTTCATTATTACCTTCAGTATTTTACTTCTTAAAGAGCACTATAAGATATACATCTATTTATAATTGTTAGACTTATGCATTTAGGACAAAAATAAGTAGTTGCTATTTGAAAGACTAGAAAGATTGAAAGACTGAAAAAGTGTCAACAGTGAAATTGTTTATAACGTGTCGCGATAGCTGTACCTATATATCTCTTTAAATATTGACGAATACATGATTATTGATAATCTAAATGTGTAATAAATATAATCAGTAAAGTTAGGTATCGATGAATTTGTGTTAGTGGAGTGTTCGTCGATGCGAACACGATTGTCAGCGGGTTACGGATCACCCCTGTCCAACCGTCCAGATTTTGCACTGAAAATTAATCCTTTTTGCAAAAAGGCGAATATGATCTACAAAGCGGAAAGGTGAACATGACTTACAGAATGATTAATTTTTAGTGGAAAGTCTGTATATCATATCGGAAGATCAGCCACTTGAGAACAGGATTATTAACAATTCCATTTGTTCGACAGGTTAAAGGGTGTGTAAAATTATTAAAGGATCAACCACCTTGCAAGAGCGAGGGTCTATTAAACGCGCTCCGTTATACCACGAAGCATCTGAACGAGGACAACACGCCGAAGAACATAAAAAACCTGCTAGCGGCATGATTACCGAAACAACGCGGCTGCTGTATCAGAACCTGAGACAGCTGGTTGCTACTCTTCCGGAACCTGAACGAGTGGTGCATCTTGTCTGTATCGCCACGAGGACGTTGAAGAAGATATCCTCGAGTTTCCACGTGACCCAAGCAATCTCCTTGTTCCTGATCGCGGGCTGGGTGGTGGACCAGAAAACGCAAGTCTTTCGAACCGAGTCTAAAGCTGCCCGAAAACTGCCGACTTCCTGTGACGAAAGAGAAGCTAGAAAATTATAGGAAAAGAAACGAGAAAAAGAAGAAAGTTAAACAAAAAGAAAAAAAAAGACAAAAGAAACGAAAAGAATACAAAGCGACGACTGATCGTTGGAGGAATTGCTGGAACCGTTTCGCCGCGGCGTTTTTATTTGCCGCGAAGGAACGCGCGCGTTTAGGAATTATTATGGTATTCGCTATCTTCCTCAACCACATGAATTCTTATTGATCATTGCTACTATGATTAAGGTTACCGCGACTTTTTGCGTTCGTTCGGAGTTCGATTACCGTCACCGAAGTATTATTCACCCGACTGACGTCACTTATTCAAATATTATTGCTCTCTCAGACGGAGAAACGAGTTAATTACAGCATATCAATAGCATACTTAGGGTAATTCCGATCGCGAGCATTCAAGTAACTGTTATGATGAGAGGTTTAATAACGTTGTAGATATATTGTGGAGATTTTTAGCTCTTGTTTTCTTTGTTGAACGGTTGTCATCGGGCGGGAAGCTGTAATTAATTGTCCGCGCGGCCGTCGGCGAGCGATCTCGCGCGTGTTTTTACAATTTCATAATAAAATTTGAAAACATGGAAGTAGAATACCGACGCTGCAGTTGCACCAAAGAGACGTAACGAAAATGATTAAGCGATGCGTTTGCTTCTCGTCGACGGGCGTGCGAACGTTAAGGAAAATTGTTATAAATAGGGGCGTGGACATTGATCGAAAGTGAAAATCATGGACGACTAATGTTATTTTGCTGCGTTATTATCCGACGAGTTTCAGATAATTTCGCAACGAGCATACGCACTGCACGAAGCATCCTTCTAGAAATGCCCTCTTCTCGTTTCATATGATTTCCGCATAATAGAGAATGGAAAACCAAAGATATTATTATTAATATATATCACTGCTTTTGTTACGCATTTATTATTACGATGATTTTTATCCGGGGACGTTATCTGCGTCTTCGACGGAAGAGGTCGTGCGATTTTAATGCATTTGATTGAAGCAAAACTTCACTGGAACGATGTAATTCCTTGCGCTGGCAGTCGCATTCTACACTCTCTCTTTTTAAGTGCACGTTTACAGATTTTAAGCGTATGAAATCAATTAACTGTCTACATTTTCTTGTATCAAGACTTTTACCATTTGTATCCAATGTTATAACATTGTATTATACATAAGAGATCCTATTGCGAAAGCTGTCTTGGTCGGTTTTATCATTTCTCTCGTAATAATAGGTATAACAGTAAATTGATAGGTTCAACTATTTATGGATTGAAATATGAATTTTTGAAGCATCGTTACGAATTAAATATATAAGATTGATATAACATTTTCATAACGTACGGGATCTCATAAACTATTTTGAATTTGGTATTTGGCACATGGAAGCGAAAGAACAAAACAGCTTTTAAAGATGAATTTCTTACGTGTTCATTGTATTTTCAATCTTTCTTTAGTGATATTTATGATAACTGTGTTGTTATTGTTTTTGAGTAGATATACCTATTTGCGAATTTATGTTCATTTTTATGGATTATAATATATTAAAAGTGTAACGTTCATGAGAATTTAGTTGTGCAAAACTGTTTTCGTCGAAATATTTCGATTGTTCGTCTCTTACGTCGTTGCTTAATTTGCTCTATTTTTTTTTTTAAAGAACTTTCGACGTATTTAATCGTATTTTTAGCAAGCTAAACATTAATTTTTTAGTTGCATCTAATTAATTTGATATCGGGGCTGACAGGGCAGAATATTTTCCTACCTTTTCGAAACAACGTTCTCGCCGAAAAAGATGAAGGAGAAAGGCAGGAATTCGAACACGGAAACAATTTTTAAAAGATTAGTATTTTATTAAATTTACATTTTCGACTTTGAATATTTTTATAACGACACATGCTTCCCATCTTTGTCTTCCAACTATTTCTTAATCATTCTTTCGAAGACGATCAATCGAAGTTGTTACACATTCGTATCAGCGGGAGAGAAAGCATTACAGACATAGTTAACGCAGATACATTCACTTTTACACACGTGTTAATATGAGATCGAAGTTCAACGTATGCTTCGGCACTAAAACTTTTGCGCAACGATCGAAACATGCGAAGATTTTGTAAACAAAATTTATTGTAATGTGCTGTATGAATACCCTGAGGAATAAACCTTCAAACATGTGGAACGATATTCTAATAATTCATAAGAGAAGGATCTTTTTTATACTTCTAAAACAGATAGTGTTTTGTATTAGGAAATCAGGAATTCTTGTTGTATTGTAAATATTTTTTTATGTATATATTATATTTGCTTTAGTTGCAACAGAATCTGAAAGTTTTGGAAATGTTGTAAGATTTTGTTATATTTTAACATTACGTACTGGAGTAACAATTATTACGCTGTGCACAGAGTTTCGGTTTGGAATGTTTCAGTAAAACTTATTATTAACATTTTACGATTAATGCGCTATATTATCTATTTACGAACATTGTTACTTGAAACTGAAACTGTAGACGCCCAAGAGTTAATAAAATACATTATATAAATATCCAGTCGTATCGTTTGTCTGATTTGTATTGAACTAAATACTAACGAATACCGCGTGGAAAGTTCAAAAATATTCTTAGTCTAAATATTTTTTAAACTATTTCCTGCTTTACTGACTTCAGCGGATCGCAATTGGTAATTTCATTGATTTTATTATTTCTAGCTGTTTATTATATATGATAATTCTACCTGTCGGCAATGCGGTTAATGTTTAAAATAAATATAACAAATAGAATTCGAAATATCGAGTCACTCTTGAAAGATGAACGTTTTAATTAAACTTTTATTTCGATTCATTAACGCTCACGTAACTCTTTCAATTTTCAATATTATTTGAGAAAATACTTCCTCAGACGAAAAGTGGAATTTACAATTAGTCTTTTTGTCTATTTTTGTACCGATCTGTGGTATTAAATCCATTTTCATATTCCATTCGTACTGATTGTCTTTGGTCATATCTATTTCTATATACCATTCGTATTGTCAGTAGCGAAAATATTTCTCTATATACCATTCGTACTAATCATTTCTGATGGTAAATCTATTTTTATGTACCATCCGTACTAAGGCAGACTTAGGATCCGTACAGCATTGTATGTAATGCTTTTTTTGTCTAAGGGTCTGAATTACCGACTCTGTAGAAACTGCTGTGGTACGATAGCGGACTTTATCTAAATGGAACGGTCAGTTAGTGAACTATATCTGACTGCAACAGAGAAAAGTGTGTGTTTCTCAGGTGGCTAAATTTACAGCGTTGCCAGCTTTTAAAAGTACATTATTGCTGCATTATATACCTACGAAAACTATCGATGCATGTGAAAAAAGCGTTCAAGCGATTTCTTTCCTGCTCGTCGGCTTTGCATAGCGAAGCTACATCTTTTATCTGCCATGCTTATATTAAACAATTATGTAGCTATTGGTTGATTTGTTCAAAAATCCATTTTTAATTTTTTATACATATTAAATTGTTAACAATTTTGAAATTTTTAATTCACGTATTCTTTAATTACAATTTTCATACATATGTATATGCTGTCCGACAATTTAAATATGTATATTAGTCCAAGGGATCTGTAGAACACGAGTAGGGTTTTAAATATTTGTCGTTTATAAATGATGTTGACAAATTTCTTCCCATCTACATATCTTCTCATAATAAGCTTTGTGCAATAAACACCTCGTTCTAATACGAAAGATACTATTTCCTGGTATGACAATATTAAGAAAGGCATAAACAATTGTAATGTCGTAATTGTTAATGTGTTCCCGTATATGTATATGCTGATATTCACACATATACAGAGTGTCCCAAAAGTCACCAGAAATCGGGAAATGAGGGGTTCCAGAGGTCATTTGAAGTAACTTTTTCCTTAGCGCAAATGCAATTCGCGGAATCCCACATTTCTCGATTACGAGCGATTTTATGTGATACCCTGAATATAATAAAAATTAATCGAAAAGCTGTCTAAAGTGGTTGCTGACCTTCGCATAAAACTTTGGAATGCACACATAGTTCATTTTACAGAATTGTTATAAATATTAAGAAGACAGAAATGATAAATTTATTAATGAAAGGAGTTCGATTTGTGCAATTAAAATCAGCTTTTAACCTCTTCGCTCCCATGGACCAGTATGTCGCGGCACCGATACTGTTCGTATAATGTCGTAGACGAGATATCTCGCAACGTAATGCCGTTTGTGCGATGCCACGGACGTGTTATCCCGCGATATAATACCGTTCATGCAGTGCCGTAAACGAGTAAACGCGTGCTTCTATTTTTGCTCTGTCTGTGGCCTCTTAGCTTGCTTTCGTGTTGTGTCAATGAAACTAAACTTTTCGAATTAAAGCTTTTATTCTAATAACGAAGCACGCGTACGTACTCGTCTGTGGCACCGCGCGAATAGTATTACGTTGCGGGATAACACGTTAGAGGGAACGAAGCGGTAAATCTGAAGAAAGGAAAGCGGGCGATGGGCTGGCCTTTTTTCCAGGAGTCGTAAACGAATAGCGGATTTCTACCTATCTCAAGGAACAATTGTTATTGTTGTATTCGCGTCGACTCGAGATCGTCCACTACCCTAATTAACACGTTCCCTGCCGAGCTTTTTTTACTCGAATCTTCACACTTTGATATTTTACTAAAACTTGATGTATTACGTGCAATTATTAATTCTCGTACACATAACAACGTAACAAAAACTTATCAACGCCCATTCTTGCGGTGGAAATTGATTCTTCGGTTCTAAATTTCTTGTAAACAATTTGTTCAGTTCACTAAGTAAACATGCAAGCGTGTACCATGGATGGTACACGTGGCACGGAACGTGTTAATACGGCGTGGCTATAATATGTCACGAGGATTTCGAAAACATAATACGGTAACTTGAACAGCAGAGTTTAATTACGAGTTGTCCTGTCGAAAAAGTGGAGCGAGGAGACTGCAGGCCACGATCGCGAGTTTGACATGTCGGAAAATTCTATTATTGGGGTACTATATTGCTGAAATATTTAGTCGATACATCTGGTCATTGGAATAGTCGATCAGTTGGATATTCGGTCATTGGGATAGTGGGTCGCTGGGATATTTCGCGCTTGAGATCGCATTTAATTTCGTGCTTGAGATCATCGCACCACCCATGAGTCGTAAACGAGCAGCGAGTTTCGACCTGTCTCAAAGAAATATTGTTAATGTTATATTCTTCGCGCCGAGACTCGAGTTCACCCGCTACCCTAATTAATTCTGCGTGTCACCACAATTTCGAAAACATAATAGAAAGGCAGAATTTGATTACGAGTCGTTCTGTTGAATACACGATACAGGGTACATGTATCGTCGCGATTTTCGTCGCAGATTCATTGTATCGGCCAAAGTTAATTTTGTTTGAAAATCTGCCGTGTATATTTCGGTTAATTTAATCATGAGCTTCGGTTACCGTATTCGGACGGGTTTTCGGCTGACCGTTGCACAAATTTTCCTCAAAATCTAAGAAGGAAAGAATCAGTCGCGTCAACAAGCATCGCTACGTGTGGTACGTCGTAGTCCTTCCTTTATTCATCCTAATCTATTTACACATTGCTTCGCTACTGAATCTAATCGAATTTCGTATTATTGTTACAAATCTTGAAATCAGATCATGTGGGGCAGAGATCGAGAAGCAACGCGGTCGTGCTTGTCGACGAGCCGCCGATGTACATAAGTGTTATCTTTATCAGCACACAAAGCATCTATAACCTATAACACATAATCCATTTTCGCATTTATAATAGCGATTGAATTTAATTGAATTTCTTGCTTTTATTACAGATCTGGAAACTACGTGGATGGCTGAGCTCGAAAAGCAACGAGTCGGGCTTCGTCAAGGAGGAAGGGATTTAAGTATAATCTTCGTCAATATGCAAATTACATGAAATAGTTCGTAGAAATGAATAATTTCTTGAACGATGTTGGACATAGTTTAATATCTCTGTGCTTTTCTTTTTGTTCGCAGCTCCCTCCTCCCACCAAGTAGTGAGTGAACATTCAGAGTAACATTTCTTTTCTATTACATAGAAATTGTAGAAAATTTTGACGAGTACGGTGACCAAATGATTGCCCGGCAATCCTTTGAGCGGTAATTTGTTTCCTAGTTAGGCAGGGTCTTTCTGCACCCAATCCTTGCACTGCAAAGATTAATCTTTTATAACACGCGATTGTCATGATACGAATGTAATAAATAATTAATATATTAAATAACTTTTTTCCGCCTAATTGCGTTAGAGATCGCGTGCAAAAAGATGTTTCACGATAGGTAAAGCATACATCATGAAAGTCCAAAATGTGACTCTTTTTGTTATGATATTATTATTAAACATATTTGAACATATTTTAAAATTATTATTATGAAATTATTACTATGAAATTATTATTATGAAACTATTAAACATATTTGAACATATTTTAAAATTATAATTAAACGTACACATTTTTCAATGAATTTGAAAAATCTTAGCCCGAGGAACTAATGTCTCTTATTAGATAGGATTTTCAGAGATCCGAGGTTTCATGTTTGTTGCTCGAATCCTTCCGAGTGCCCAATCGTTACTCGAGAGGGTGCGAGCAACGGCACATGGGACGGTATTTAATAATAATAGCAACTGGCAATGACTAGGGTATCGTGTGTGTGTGTGTGTGGTTAGGCAGTGGATTTTGCGTCGGTTTTTTCAAATCGAAACTAGCTCGAAACGAACATATTTCATGCGATCTACATATGTCATGTAACGTGGATTTGTGTAGAATATGTATATATAGAATGTTCATTTTTTATTTTAATCGGATGAAACGGTTTAATGGAAGCTCGCAAGAGTCTTAAAAAATTCAACTCTATCGAAATGGTATTTATTCTAGAATCATTAGTATTTGTTCCGTCACATAGAGCCTCCCGCAGACCTCTCTCGCGAAGGGTTTATGGCACGGACAAGCGTGGGTCATCTGAGGAGACGGAGACCTTTTTTGGCAGCTGCCGAACATCCGGGCAGTGTCTCCGTCTTTTCTAATGATCGCGACGTGTCGTAAATCCAAAAGGCCCGAAAAAACCTCCCGCAATAACACTTGAGATTTTTGAACGCGTCTTGGGAAAGTTAGTCCCAACCGTCGCGGGGATGACATCTCAAGGCCCAGAGGACCTCCCCAACCACGCAATTACGCGTCGCACCCCT